AAGCAGCCCTACAGTTAACTCTCATTTGTATATTGTGCTTGTCTTTTTCGTTTCGTCTGAAGAGAAAAAGTCACATTATACGTCGTTGATTTGGATCAAGCGGAATTCGTGCGGAAACATGAAGAAAACTTTGAGCGTGTGGGCAAAAGTTTTTTTCCAGACTAGAAGTAGCCTTTGGAATGCTCAAGCTGCCCGTTCACCTAGAAAGAAAAGAAGAAACACGAATTCTTCGAGTATTTTACCCAAGAGGCGACGTCTCTTAGAGCGCTGACCATCGCGTGCGCTGGAAGACCGCGAGGATCATACGAATGCGGGTTCCCCAGAGGAAGAAAACATGGTAGCAGGCCATTTGTTGGAGCATGATCACCGTCTCGATTTAAGGTGGGTGCACTACCAAGAGGAGATCGAAAGGAGATCTGTAGGGAAGGTTTGGTTCAAAGCTTCTCTCTTTTGAGGAGCAAGCTCGAACTACAGAAAAGCTCTTTTGGCCACCATCACCAAATATTCAAACAAGACACCGGGGATGGCCCTATCTTGCTTTTGAATTCTCCCTAGAAAATGTCTTGATGCATTGGTTTTGAAGTGTTGCATACATTTGTCATTGCTGCGCCTTGGCAATTCCGGAAACAGTTGCTGGCATCGGTTTAGATTCCTCTCGGGCCATCTTGCCAATCTGGAGAGCGATCGCCATATCCTCACTCAGTCTCACTCGTGCCAATGATTTAGATCCAGGAGTGGTTGCCATTGCGATGATAACACAGGACGATCGTCATGGATTTTAGCAAAGGTTGGTGCGGTTTTAAACCAGTTGATGGCGGAGCTAGCGCACTTACACAGCCGGGATCAGAAGGCGTGCTACAATCTGCCGCAGTGAAGAAAGAAAAGGAGGGAGAGCTTGGCCTTGCCTCGATTCCTCGTATCAGCAAAGAGTTCCTCGACAGCATCGAGCAGTTCCACTACATCGACGTCGGGAGGAACGAGTGCGGCGGACGACACAGTATCTTGGAAGAGATCGCAAAGGTTGCCAAGCTCCGGGACTCCGGCCTCACGGTTTTCTTGCACGGAACACCACGCCAGTGGAGCGATCCAAACAGAGGGTGGATCTCCGCGGAGAAAGACCAGTGCATCCGGCACCGGCAGCTTAGAGAAGCTGGAAGAAACTTTGCTGCTAATGAAAAATTCAGGGTGGAAAAACGTATTTTGCAAACGAAGAGCCGCCTCGATATGCACTTTTGAATCCTGGAAGTGTTTGACGGATCTGTAAGTAGCGAGAGTACCAGTGCTTGTAGGAGTTTTGAGCACGGCATTTAGAGCAAGCCTTTCTCTTGCAGGCTAGCGACCGTGTCCACCAGCATCTTCTCGTAGGGGATGAACTCCTTGATGAGGGACAGGATCTTTTTGTTCGAGAACTTCTCAAATAAATTCAAGAACTTCTCGAATAAATCTGCTTCAGTTTCACACCTACAAAATAAAAAGAAGATATGTTTTTGATTATACAAGAACCAGAAGGAATGGCTTACTTTTCTGGGTACGAGTACTGTGGGAAGTTCTCCTTGAGAGTCTCGATCATCTCCTTGCAAAGCTTGGAGCATGCAATGCAGAAGTAGCGGCCAGAGGCGTTGGGATCCTCGTAGCCCGCAATGTGTGCCTCGGCAACATCTCGCACGTCCACTAGTGCAAAGTATATGTTCGGGTAGCTGGTTTTCGAGCCTGCGCAAGAACAAAGTTTCCTTCTTTATATTAAGAAAAATGAAGAAAAATTGTACGTTGACATACCATTCATCAGAGTTGCCACGAGTCCAACGCTGGCGTTGATCTTGGATTGCAAGATGGGGCCAAGCACAACAACAGGGCAGATGACAACAACACGGATCCCAAACTCGTCGCCAAGTTTGCTAACGAGCTTCTCCGACTCGGTTTTAGCAAGCCTGTACCATTGCTGGAAGAAAAATCGTGATAGAAGTTTTTGAAAAGAATCTAGCGTTTTCTCTTCCTTTACCTGGTGCTTTCGGCAGGCTTCAGGATCAGACCAGCAGCTCTCATCGATGATTTGATCTCGAGAGCGATTTGGATCGAAAATCATGGCAGCTCCAGAGGAGGTGAACACAACACGCTTGATATTCTCCTTGTGGCAAGCTTCCATCACATTTCGAGTGCCATCCACGGCGGGTTTTAACACAGCCTGTCAGCAGTACCAGATGAAAAGGAAAAAATCTCCAAGAGAAAAGAAAAACTCACGTCTGGATCCTCAAACTTATGGGCAACGGGACAAGCGGTGTGGAAGACAACATGGCAGCCACGAACAGCGGGCACAAGCGAGTCATAGTCGAGAACATCAGCTCTAAACAGTGATAATCTCTCGCTGGCGCCCGGGAGCTTCTTCAAATGCCCATACTTCTCATCGTCGTCTAGAATCAAAAAGAATCAAAAGGAATCAAAAGTCAAAATGCGGCCAAGAATCGATCAATCCATCGCTCACCTGGATCTCGAACGGTGCCATGCACTGTGTAGCCTCGATCCAGCAGCTTGGCAACAATCCACGACGCAATGAAGCCACCAGCGCCAATCACGCAAGCTCTCTCCATACTCGCAAAAAAACCCCTACAGTACCTTCACTTCGAGAAGTGTTTGCTTTTCATAGGCATGGCAGCCACCGACATGGACGATTCCCACAGCGAAAATCATAGAACGTGGAAAAAGAAGAGCAATTTGATCCAAGATGATGAAGAATTTTGTGGTGGCGGCTGTGGTGGCGAGCTCTACACAGGTGAATTGATCGATCAAGGATCTTCAGCAAGGAGTTTAGAACGGAAAACTTGCACCTTACAATTTATATTATCAATGAGAACTTATGCCTCTATTCTCTATCTCTTCTTCGGGCATGGATTCACGTCTTGGATGGCGATGGATCTTTGGAAGGAAGGAGTAAATATTTTTTCATAGAGTGGAATTGGTTTAAGTGGTTTCCGAAACAAACTAAGAATGTTTTCCTTTTAACCTACCTATAAAAAGCTATAGTCATTTAGATTAAAATATTGTGTTTATAAAATTATAAACACTAAGTATATTCTAGTTTCTTTATACATTATATAAACACCAATTCTGGATCCACAAAATCCCTAGGAAGATAGACACTCCTTTCTGGTCACTATCATTCATGTGCTAAGGGAGTTTTTTTTCTTTTTTGGACATTTAAAACTAGTAGATCAAGTTTTAGTCAAATAGGTGAGAACACTCTCTCTAAAAATATAGTCATGATTGTGCTAATGGTATAGATAATGGTATAGATGATGGAGTGATATGTGAGCCAACATACTATGGAAGTTCATTACAAAATTTTATCACATTTTTTTAGTAGGGCTGTTGTTCTTGGTGTTAGAGGCAATCCAAAAGCTCTTGGGCCATCCATGTGGCAATAAGATAGTGATTTCTTGAACTCTTCTTCAAAGTCCTTATAGAATTGCATAAGGTAAAATTGACAAGCTTAAGAAATGAACAAGAAATAGTTTTAGGTCAAATAATATGAGAATTCAAACATTCTCTTTAGTAAACAAAATAATTTCAAACCTTTTTATTGTAGTATTAATTTCTATCATATTCTTGCAAATTTTTCTAATGCAAAATTATTCAAGTTTGCCTATATCTTATAATAATATATACTATTTAAAATACATAAGAAAGCCAAGTGTTGCTGAATTGGGAATGTATAACATATTATTATATTTTTATTTTTGAATATTAGTTATTTTAAAAAATAAGTTAACTCTTTGAGCAGCATAGCTGTGACTATCTCAATAATTGTAACCACTTTTTTGGGTTTTACTCTCATGAGCTCATCAGAAAAAGGGAAGATGATAAAACATTTGATAAAATACTAAATAAAATTTAAAAAATGAATTTTATTTTATAATCTCTAAAAACTAATCTTTTCCAACTTTAATCTAATCTCAAAATTTTATCTATGTTAATCCTATATACCCACATATGATAGATCTTGAGTTTAAATCCTATGAACAAACATTTAAGATTTAGACCTTATTGTGGACAATCACTACAAAATACACTCTAGAAAATAAGGGCACAAGGGTAGAAAAACTCTTTAAGAATTGCAACAACCTTCCCCACTACAAAAGTTGTCAATTTTCTCATATACTTGGTATTATAATGGTGTTTTATATATTTATTTCCAAGGTACGGATTGAGCTATATTTCTAAGGATGCAACAAAGTAGGGGAAAAGGAAAATTTAATTGTTTTTGACTCCTAAATCCAAAGGGAGTTTGATAGATACATTTTAGTGATTATAGCACTTGAAATATTTTGAATTGCAAGTGGAATAATTATATTTTTATTGCAGTTGATATTGTTTTTATGTTCCAAGGATGATTTATAATGATGTAATTATCAATAACAAAATTAAGTACTATTAAGTATAAATATGGACTTTAAAAATGATTTATATTAAGAAAATTACTATCAAACACTGGTTTTAAGCGAATTAGAGAAAGTTTAGATTGAAGAATATCTTAAAATATACTTGGATATTCTAGGTATTGTTTCTACATCCCTGAGGGACAAAAAAAAGGTTAAACTGTAGACAATCATAATTAACAATGAAGCTAAACATAGGGCTAAACTCTTATTTTAGGTTTGATTAAATTCTCACAATACTGACAATGAACAATTATAAGAGTGAGAGGCCTAAAAAGGACACTATTAATAATTCATCTAAATGAGGGAATGAAATGCTTTTATTACATTGATTTTAGAAAGAAAATTGTTTTTGCACGAAGAGGCTATACATCTCTACTAAAAAGAAGTTATGATTTTGAAGCAATCATTACATTGTTCCTTATATTGTACTAGTACATTGCATAGCACATAAAGAAGATTTGGCTGTAAATGACTCCTTCTAACTATTTTCCAGTGATTAAGGGATATATATGTGTGTTTATATATATATATATATATATATATATATATATATATATATATATATATATATATAAGGAAAGAAACTTTATTTAAACATTTTTTGTAGTCATATCAAACTTTATAATCAAGATAATGCTGTTATAGTATGAATAAAAAGCTTTTGTACTTTATATACTTAAAATTAATTAAAAATATTATAATAAAATAAAATTTAAATTATAGAAATAAGTGTACATAAGATATGAGAAACAATATGCAATAGCATACCATCATCAAGGCTATTAATAGTAACACTGTCTTTGTTATTAATATCTCCTTAATTTTCTATATGACCTAATTTTAACAAAAATAAATCACCAAACTTTTGCAATTTTCAAATCTTGGATAAGTCCTTATAAGGATGTTATTGCAAGGTGTTGTTACTTTTCAAGTTTATGCACATATTTCTTCTTTAAATTTAATGTAGTTTGATAATGGAAAATAAAAGTTCCATAGAGAAGCAACAAATCCAATATTTCAAGTATTTCATTTGTATTTACTGTTTTTTATGCCTATTTTAATTGCCTAATATATGCAAATAGGATTCAAACAAAATCTTTGCTTAATATCCACTTATGAGAAATGCACAGTTAAGGTTATAATGAAAGTTTTATGATTCTGTTAAGTTCTTTATATGATCTTCTCAATATGATGACTTTCTTAGGTATGATGAATTGAGCAGTTGAACAATTAATCCCTTTTGGGCATAAGAAATAAGTTTTAAGACTTAGTTTGCAGTATATAGTAATAATTATTATCCACATAAAGTTATCGTGGCAGGATGTGATTAAATGCCTTTTTAAATTCTCTCTGTTGAGGACAAGCTTTGGATTAGGTTTTTCAAATGATATAGCTAAATTCTTAATTATCAAAAATTTTAAAATGGTTTAATGCTATTAAGAAAGAAAGAACACTCCCAGAACAAGCCTGTAGAATGGCTCTCAATAAAATGGCAAAGAAAACTAAAGACATACAATTACTTTCTATGGTGCACTGGGATCTTTATCAACAATATGACTATTGCCTCTTACCTAACTGAAGCACAAATTGTATACTTCAAATGCCTCTTGATGCTTTCAGAAAAAAATTAGAAGAACAAGTGATGGGAGGAAAGTTGGCACTCAAATAGGTGGTAGTTGCCACATATTTCAGTTCACTTAACATCACTGAAATTTGTTAAAAGAGACTATTATTGTTGCATATGAAGAGAAAGAAAAAAATAATAGAGTTTAAGAGGAGAATGTGTAAAAAAAATCAACTATCACTAAAGGAATATCATATTAAATCAATGTAAATACCTTCATTTCTTCACTTAAACTAAAAAGTTACCTATAGAAAATTTTAAACTCAACATAAAAACTATAGTATTTGGATTGAAGCTTTATCTTGTTAACACAAAGAAATATTATAAGAGCAAGGAGCATATCTATCAATTGCCAAATGTTCATAAATTTATAATTGAGGAAGCCTAGTGAATGGGTTATGAAATTTGACAAGCAATTATTTTTGAAGAGACTTAGTCCACAAATATTTAGGACTACACTATTGTAATAGTAACTAGGAAAATATATCTAAAATCATATCTATTGCAAAATATATTGTAAACCAGTCTATATTCAAATATATAAAATCTATATGCAGAAACATATGTAAATTAAGCTAAAAATTAGGTGGCCAAAACATTAATCCAAAAACTACTTTTTCCATTAGTCACATAAACAGTCAAAACTATATCTTGGTGAATTATATAGAAAACTATACATACTTTTATTCCCAAAATATTCCTAGAAACCACACCAAAACAACTCCTAAATTGATTGCTAAATAACACATGAGTCATACTAGAAACTAGCAAACCCTATGTGTGAAACCACTTCTATCATGGTAGAGCGTAACCCAATTAAAAAACCATTCCCAAACCCATAAAAATGGCATATAAATTTTTCCCATATTGTTTTGAAACTAGTTATACATAAAAAACCAGCTTTTTGTGTACCTCCTCTTATGCCATCACTTAGAAAGGCCACAAAAATCCGAGTGAACCGATTGGAGAGGATTTTGTGCAAGAACACTCCCTCTAGAATTAAAAGCTCAATGATATTGCTTTCTTAAAATGTAAGGCTCACTTAATGGCATTGAAGAAGGTGTGATGGCCAAGCTATCAACCACTTATCTCGTTGCAACTACTGTAATTCATGTAGCCAAGTTGATGTTGCCAGGTTTGAAAATCTGTAGCTCCCCCTGAACTGAAGATGAACTTGCAACAATCATGATGATAATCAACCATCTTGTCTTGCATGCAAAAGCCAGGTATCCAACCAACATGAATAGGAAGCTATGATTATAATGAGCATTATAATCACCTTGAGCCAATAAATCTCATTACTTTAGCACTTAGCCAATAATACTCTGGCTTTCTTATGTTTTTCTTATTACGACTATTTGTCTTCTATTTCACATGAAACTAATTTTTTTTTTTCATTTATTATTTTCTTTATGGCAAACCAAATATAATTTTCTTACTTATAAATCACTAATACAAACCGTTGTCCACCCATGAGGATCAAGCCGAAGAAGTTGGCATAGGAGGCTCCCTTCACGATGATTGCCGTCAACACCATCGTGCAAGCTCGTGAGGTGGTGATCATCACCATCGTCATCACCATCCACCATTGCCATAGATGCAAAAAGAGATCAAAGTTCAGCAAATGACGCAAACCATAGAAGGATGATCAAAAGCCACACTAAGCTTATGAAAAGAGCCTGCAATGCCTGTTTACCGTGTTCTAGATGCGTGGTATCTGGATACAGTGGTGAAGCACGAGTACAAGAAGTTAAATCCCGGGTTTGGATGTAGTACGGTAGAATTATAGAAGGGTTTTAGACATGGTGATTGCATGGATGCTTAGACTTCTTGTATAACTGTTATATGACATAGCTGCCTATTAACAGAACAAACGAAAAGATAGCAGTAGTGTTTTTAACTGAATTTTTCCATTTATTACTATCGTTATATGTGTGGTTATCCTTTCTTTCCAAAGGAGTGATCAATTTGGTATGGAACCTGATTCTCATGCCGCCACTGGAGCGAGGGTGGATCTCCGCGAAGACCAGTGCATCCGGTAGCTTAGAGAAGCTGGAAGAAAGTTTAGAGTACTGGATCCTTTACCTCAAAACATTGTCTTTTATTCCAGCATTTCGACCATTGTGTTAGAGCAAGCCTTTCTCTTGCAGGCTAGTGACCGTGTCCACCAGCGTCTTCTCGTAGGGGATGAACTCCTTGACGAGGGACAGGATCTTCTTGTTCGAGATCTTCTCGAATGAGTTACCTTCAGTGATCTCACCTTCACACCTGCAAAATAGAAAGAAAAAAAAAGTGTTTTTGATCACGCAAGGACGGCCTACTTGTGGGGGTATTGGTACTGGGGGAACTTCTCCTTGAGAGTCTCAATCATTTCCTTGCAAAGCTTGGAGCACGCAATACAGTAGTAGCGGCCAGAGGCGTTGGGATCCTCGTAGCCGGCAATGTGCGCCTCGGCAACATCTCGCACGTCAACGAGTGAATAGTATGTGTTGGGGTAGCTACTTTTCGAGCCTGAACAAAGCTTAAAAGAAAAAAGAAGAAAAAATTGTACCATTCATCAGATTTGCCACGAGTGCAGCGCTGGTGTTGATCTTGGATTGCAAGATGGGGCCTAGTACGAAAACTGGACAGATGACAACAACATGGATCCCAAACTCGTCCCCAAGTTTGCAAACGAGCTTCTCGGACTCGGTTTTAGCAAGCATGTACCAGTTCTGGAAGAAAAATAGTGACCAGTTTAGGAAAGAATCGTTATCTCTTCCTTTTACCTTGCTCTTTCGGCAGAATTCAGGGTCAGACCAGCAGCTCTCATCGATGATTTGATCCGGCGGACGGTTTGGATCGAAAAGTATGGCAGCTCCAGAGGAGGTGAACACAACATGCTTGATATTCCCCTTGTGGCAAGCTTCCATTACATTTCGAGTGCCATCCATAGCGGGTTTTAACACAGCCTATCAAAGACAGCAGTATGATCGATAAGAACGAAAAATCCCCAGGAAAGAAGAAAAACTCACGTCTGGATCCTCAAACTTTAGAGCAACTGGACAAGCGGTGTGGAAGACAACATCGCAGCCACGAACAGCGGGCACAAGCGAGTCATAGTCGAGAACATCAGCTCTAAACAGCGATAATCTCTCCCTGGCTCCAGGGAGCTTCTTCAAATGTCCATACTTCTCATTGTCATCTGGAATCCAAAGGAATCAAAAGCCAAGAACCGACCAATACATCGCTCACCAGGATCTCGAACGGTGCCATGAACTTTGTAGCCTCGATCCAGCAGCTTGGTGACGATCCACGACGCGATGAAGCCGCCGGCGCCAATCACGCAAGCCCTCTTCCCTCCCTCCATAATCGCAAAATGGCCCCTATAGTACTACTATTTCAAAGAACATATTGTTTTTCAGTATTATCTGAAGAGAAAAAGTCACATTAGACGGTCATGAGAGTTCGGACAAAAACGGCTTAGCTTGACAAAATTCCAAGCGTTTAGCTCCCTAGTAGTTGTTGATATTTGATAGTAAACCTCTCTCCTGTAGGCTGGCAGCCATGTCCACCAGCATCTTCTCGTAAAAACCGAACTCGCTCACAAGGGACAGGATTTTCTTGTTTGAGATCTTGTCGAAGGGCAATCCTAGAGAAGAAACATGTTTTTTTTATCGAAAGCGACCGAGAAGAATGGCTTACTTGTCTGGTATGGATACTCTGGGAACTCAATAATTTCCTTGCAAAGCTTAGCGTACGCAACGCAGCAGTAGCGGCCACAGGCGTCGGGATCTTCGTAGCCAGCAATGTGTGCTTCGGCAACGTCTCGTACATCCACGATTCTATAATGCATGTTGGGAAAGCTGGTTTGAGAGCCGGCATGAAAGCCAAACGCTTCTCAATCCATCAAACTTGACACGATTCCAACGCGGATGTTTACTGTCGCTTGGAGGATTAAGCTGAGCACACCAGCAGGGCAGATCACAACAGCACGTATCCCAAACTCGTCGCCAACGAGATTGTTTCAGCAAGCACCAGTGCTGCAAGAAAGTTCGAAATGATCTCATCGATAATACAAAAACGCGTTTACCTGATTGTCTCGGCAGTACAGCTCTCGATTCTTTGTTCTCGAGGCTGCTTTGGATCGTAAAGCATGGTGAAGTGAAGATGACATGCTTGATATTCTCCTTGCGGCAAGCTTCCAGTCCACGGCGGGTTTTAACACAGCGTCTTTAGCAAGGAATGGAAAGAATGAGGAAGGCAATTTGCAAAGAACCGACTCACGTCTTCAAATGCCATACTTCTCATTGTAGTCTAGAATTGAAACAAATCAAGGCAAAATGCGGGCATGAATCGATCGTGCACTGTTCTACAACGCTATGAAGCCGCTGGCGCAAATCTCGTCCAATAAACCATCTTTATATATATTGGAAGAACTGTCTTTCCTAGCGTTAGATCTCCCTGCCAGTTACATCGATTTTACAGCGAGGTCCTTTACATCGGCGCCTCCCACCCAAAAACCATTCAAACATTTTGTACAGTGCCTCTCTCTCACTTCTTGTTCCTTCTTGGTCTTTTGAGCTGCTGTTAGCAATGGCTGTCAGAAGAGTATTGAAACATTACCACCGCTGTGAGAGAACTATGTCGTTATGTCGATCTCCGCAGCTTGATCGCTGTCTAGTTCTTGGCCATCCCGCTGCTGCTGCTGCTGCTGCTGCTGGTTGAGTGTTAGATTTGATGTGGTCGATTTCTTCCCCGTTGGTGCTGCTGGAGTTTGATTAGCTGCCTTCGTCTCAGACGAAGGCGAAGGGAGCTCCGGCAATGGAGGCACTGTGAACTCAAACCCCTCGAGAGTTCCTTTGGCCAGCTCGGTCAGCTCGGCGTGCGCCGCCTCCAGCTCCGCCGAGGTTGGAATGTGTCCCACGAATGCGTCGCGAGCCTTTTCGAGGATGTTTTGCAGGTACTTGCTCTGCGCTTCGATTCGTAGCTGCAAATGCTTCTGGACCTGCGCAAAGGTGTTTGAAGTCTTCTAGAGTTCAAGTGATGGCTTGCCTTCCTCCACGAGGAGAAAACACATACCTCTAGTTGCTCGTGGAGTTTTCGTTGCACTTCCATTTGCATCGAGAGAGCCCGGTTGATCTCGTAGCCACTGGATACGAGGAAAAAACGTTAAGAGTCCGAAAGAGATACTTCAAAGCTGGTATTTTTACTCTGATAAGTTGGAGTTCATAGAGTTTTGTGAGCCAGTGGTCTGTGCTTTAGCACCTCCTGTTGATTAGATTATGGTTAGAAGTTTCCAGGCAAGGAAAGAAAATAAATCTTTTGTAGCTGTGCCTTTAAATTCACCTTCTTTCTTTCCATCGCCATTGTTCTCCTTGTGCATTTGCATCCCAAGCCTGTACTTCTGCGCAGATTGGCAGCCAAAACTTAAGAAGACTTGAAGAAGAAAAAGCTAGGCCTATAAAGTTCTCCCTTGATTTTGAGAGCTCTGACCAAAAGTACCGTCCTCACCTGGAGATGGCTCTTAAGATGATACAGTGTCAATCCCTTGACGCCCATCACTCTCATCACGGACTTGGGCGTAGCCTCTGCGAGCAAACAGCGAAAGAAAAACCTTACTTTGAGGCGAGCTCCTAGGAAGAAGAGCCAAATTTTTTTTGGAGAGCTAGATCCTTACTGTCAGCACCACCGAGCTGCGTGACGGCCTCCACGAAGCGCTCGTGGAGCTCGGGCGTCCAGCGCAGCCGAGGCTTGGGCTCGATCGACGACACCACCGAATCGCCGCCGCTGGCGATGTAGAGCGGCTCGCTTTGCGCCGGCATCGCTCCTCCCCTGTGAGGAATCAGCTGCGGGCTGGGATATTTCTTCATCTGGTACATCGCTGCCGCCCCTAGGGCTCGCCGATCGATCGATCTCCTCCCCCGCGGCGCTACAACCACACTGCTAACGCCGCCCGGCTAGGAATCACGCCCCATCGCCGGCGCTCCAGAGCCTACCCTAAGGGATCGTGGCGCCCCTCCTCGCGCCCCTGTTGGTGCGAGAGAATGCGCACCGGAAGGGCGCCCTGCCGTGCTGCGGACTGGCTCGCAGTGCGAATATTTTGCCCCGCAAAGCTAAGATATTCCGCTTAGAGAATATTCCGTTTGCACGCCGTCTGGGGAATCTGCGCTGACGTCGCCCGGCAATGGCGGGAGAACCTTCCGGCGGGCAGCATATGCCGTCTGGCTCCCTTTTCCTCTTTTTGGACCACGTGGCTGGCCGGAATATGTGATTATTAGATTCGATTCGTTACTGCGCGGTTCTTTTGCTTTTTGACAAGACAACACTACAGGGTTAGAGAGTGACCTTTACCGGGTTAGTAGTAAAATGGTAAAGTCCGTTTTTTAGGTTTACTTTGAGAGTGAACATGTGGAGGCCATGTAATCGTAGAGGAGGCACAGCATAACTGAGGGTTCTTTGCGAGCTCGGGGACTTTGGCGGGAGCGATTGGAGAGATACAAATGCTGCTTAATCTTGTGGTGCCGCCGCTTGGCCTCGTCTTCCTGCTGTTAACCTGGCCTGCGGTCGCGTGCCTGAGCTTCTGGCGATGGGTTTTCAGCTACGCGCTCGCGGAAAATGTCCGCGGCAAGGTCGCCGTCATCACTGGGCCTTCTTCCGGGATTGGAGAGGTACGATGGTCTTTTCTTGCTTTTTTCTCTAGAGATTGCTTGATCCAACTCTTTCTCGATGTGGATAGTACATGGCCTACGAGTATGGCAAGCGAGGAGCCAAGGTGGTGCTTATTGGGAGGCGAGAGAATCAACTCAAGAACGTCCAGGAGCGCGTTCGATCCGAGCGTGCTACTGATACTCTGGTGGTCGTCGCCGACGTTTCTAGGGAGGAAGAATGTAAGAAGGTTGTGGATGTGACGATCAACACCTTGGGAAAAAGTAAGCCTGACAAGTAAATTTTTTCTTTGATTATTGCTAACGAGTTTATCTTTGTGATACACAGTTGATCACCTTGTCTGCAATCATGGTATTGCGAACAGCTTCTTCTTCGAGGAAGCGAAAAGTTTGGAGAGATCATGGTAAAGTCCAGCATTTTCTTTTTTATTTTCTTCCTTTTTCTGAGCCATTATCTTTCTGTGAACTGTGGAGCAGGATGTGAATTTCATGGGTTGCGTCTATACTACATACTTCGCTTTGCCTCATCTCCGCAAGAGCCGAGGAAAGATTGTCGTCACGGCCTCGACTGCGTCCTGGCTTCCCATCCCGAGGATGTCAATGTACAACGTAAGCGGTTCTAGATATTATATTTCGTTGCTCGTCTCAAACACGGATTTTCCAGGCCTCCAAAGCAGCCGTGGTGAACTTCTTCGATACCCTGAGGACTGAGGAGCGATCAGATATAGGAGGAATGACGATTGCCATGCCTGGCTACATCCACAGCGAGATGACAATGGGCAAGTTCATGTCAGCCGAGGGGAAGCAATACATGAACGTTGACATACGCGACGTAAGTTTTAGAAACCATCCTCTGTATCGACAGTTCTGGAGTTCGCTCACGAGCTTTCACTTCGCAGACTCTCGTCGGCCCTTCTCCAGTAGCTTCAACGCAGTACTGCGCGAAGCAGATCGTGTCCGCGGCCACCAGAGGCGAGCGCTACGTGGTGGTGCCGGCCTGGTACAAGGTCTCACCGCTGTTTCGCGTCTTCGTTCCCCAGCTCTTGGAGACTTTCATTAGCCTCTTCTTCGTCAAGGAGCTACAGCCAGGGAAGCCAGTCACCAAAGTCATCATGGACAGCTTCCCGAGCGTCGAGAGAGTCTTGTATCCCCCTGGAATGCAGCAGAAGACAGACTGAGAGAAGATCGAAGTCAAGTACATGAGTTACTTGTAGAATCTCTTTACAAAAGACTGTTTCTCGGGAAACCATCTTATATCATTCGAGCTATGCTTTTTCCTGTTCATCCTGTTCCAAGCTTTCGACAAGCCTCGCTTATAAAAAACCAACTTGGAGCAAGCACTACGAGAGAAACAGAGAGAAGACTATTTTACCTGTGAAAGCTGCGGTCTTTCATGTAGTTTCTACTCGCGTCTCCTCTCCTGAAAGCATGGATCATGAGTGGAACTGCTGGTCCTGGTCCCAAGATACTTGGAACGTTGAGCCTCCGCTGGTAAGCTTCCATCTCGGCTCGAAGCTCCATCTCGGAACCTGGGCTTGGAAATGCTTGCGGCGGCGGCGGTGGAGGCGGCTGTGGTGCTTGCGGCTGGATGTAAGCCTTGTTCACCCAGCGATGCTGGTTCCTCCTCTTGTATTCGTAAACGGGTGGAGCTTTTGACGGCGGCGGAGCTTCCTCTCCGTTTGGCTCCGGCGCTGCTACTTCGGCCGCCGCTTCCAAACAAGTCGGAGTGGAAGTCGTCGAAGTTGATGCTACTGCTGCCGCTGCCTCGGTCTCTGGCGGCGGCGGTGGTGGCGGCGGAGGTGGCGGAGTTGACGTTCTTGATGGTGGAAGAACGTCGGCCTCGTGGTGTTTCCTCCTGGACTCATCGTCCACCTCTGGAAGCACCTCTGCCGGCGTTGTAGGCCTGTCGTCCGCCTCTCGAGGCTTTGCTGGCCGCCTGGAATCGTCATCCGTCTCTGGACGCTTTCCAGTCGACCGCCTCGAGTCCTCCTCCGTCCGCCGAGGATCATCTTCCGGTTCTGGACGCTTTGAGGTAGACCTCCTGGAATCATCTTCTGCCTCTGGAAGCTTTGTAGTAGATCTCCAGGAATCGTCATCCGCCTCTGGACGCTTTGTAGCAGACCTCCTGGAATCATCATCCGCCTCTGGACGCTTTGTGGTAGACCTCCTGGAATCATCATCCGCCTCGGGACGTCTTGTAGTGGATCTCCTGGAATCATCTTCCCCCTCGGGACGTCTTGTAGTCCTCCTGGAATCATCTTCCACCTCGGGACGTCTTGTAGTAGACCTTCTGGAATCATCGTCCACCTCCAGACGTCTTGTAGTAGACCTCCTAGAATCATCTTCCGCCTCTGGACGTCTTGTAGTGGACCTCCTGGCATCATCTTCGTGCTTCGTAGACTTTCTTGAGTCGTCATCCATCTCTCCTCGCCTTGTAGACTTTCTGGAGTCGTCATCCACCTCTGGCCGCTTTGCAGACTTTTTGCAGTCGTCATCCATCTCTGGTCGCCTTGCAGACCTCCGAAAATCATCGTCCGCCTCTGAACGCCTTGTTGACGGCCTCCCAACATCGTCATCTACGTCTGAACGCTTTGTCGAAGATCTCCTGGAATCCTCTGGACGTCTCGAACTCCGCCGGGAGTCATCGTCCGCCTCTAGCCGCTTGGAAACTCTCCTAGAATCTTCCTCCATTTCCAGACGTTTTGCAGGCCTCCTGAAATCGTCATCCGTCTTTGTCGACCTCCTGAAATCGTCATCCTTATCTGAACGTTTGGTAGACCTCCGAGAATCGTCACTCGTCTCCGCTCGCTTCGCAGACTTCCTGGAGTCATCGTCACCTTTAGCAGATCTTCGGAAATCTTCTTCCAAGTCTGCACGCCTTGTAGGCCTCCAGGATTCGTCTTCCATCTCAGAACGCTTCGTAGACCTCGAGGAATCGTTTTCCACGTCCGGACACTTCGTAGAGTCCATGCCGCTTTTGCGAACGCCTCCTTCGTCCTCTTGTGCTGATTCCCCCTGACTTTCTGCTACTTGCTTTCTGGAATCAGCTTCTTGAACCTGGGCTCTACTCTCGGAACCTCTTCTTCTGGAGTCACGTTGAGCACGTTCGTAAGTTCGTAATTCCTTGACTACTTCAGCTTTAACTTCCTCCACGGCTTCAATCTTACTTTTGTCTTCCGTGTCTTTACGGAAAATCGACTTTTTCTTTGTCTCGCCATCTGAATTTTTATGCGATCTACGAGAAAACGATCGCAATTCCGGCTTCTGCTCAGCAACTTTGATCACTTCCGTTGTTAGCGTAGATATCGACTCCTTCAGGTCATAAGTAGGCTGAAGAGCTGGTCGACCTGGGGAATAGGATTCCGCTTTTCTGAATATGAACGTAGTATACAAACCTGAACAAAGTCATTAGAACATGAAAAGTGAAAAACGGCTCACGTACTAAGAACATCGCGAATTGGTGCCATGAGCTTTCCTTTCGGATCTAAAAAGCTCGAGCAGTTACTTGTAAATGCGTCGGCAAAGAGATGCCTATCAAGAGAAAACCAAAACATCAAACTAAGAAAATATTACAGGACTTTGTGTATACCGATAATCTTCAAAGAACTCGTCCAGATTTTGGATCTCGATAAATTCCAGCCCAGCTTCCTTAGCCAATCTATTAAAGTCGCCACGACAGTGAACTAACAGTAGAGAGGAAATTATCATTACCTGATAAGGCTAGGGAAATGGACGAGGAGTTGGCTCTGAGGGGCAAGCCCATCATCAGCAAAACGCAGCTGATACCTTGTCCCAAATATATTAAATCTGCACAAACACCAACGGGTTATACACCGAGAATATAGCCAGGGAATTACAAACCGATCATCGTCAAAAGTGATGGTGTAAAGTTCGGCTTTGACACGGGGAATTGTGCTGCCAGGACGTAAAGTTCCTGTCTTCAATGCCGATTCAACAGCTTTTTGATACTTCGACCTGATACAAGAAAAGGTAAACTGCCACAAATCGTGCTTTGAGAAACTAACCAGAGTGTTGAAGCATCAGCAGTGATTCCAAAGAAAATGCCGCCAAACTTTAGTAAGCTAACAACGTTTTCCAGCAGCTGCTTTACTTTCTCTTCGCTCGAGAACGAGTCCTAAGAAAAAAAAAGAGAAACAGAGATAGAACTCCAGTCTTAAAAGAAATATACGAACACCTGCAAATGTCCCAAACAACAGATGGTATCAAATGGCAGCTCCTTATCCTGCAGCTTCGATTCAAGGTCTCCCTGCAAGATTTGATTTTGCTAAGCCTGAGAAGAATGTCAAGAGCGTACGAGAAAAGGATCAAGCTGGCAGAAGCTCGCAGTGTACGGCTTGCCGAGAGTTCTCCACTCCTCTTCAGCATCCTGGAGAGCCGACGCGGACAAATCTGGCCAGAATTTAAGATGAAAAACACCTCTGGAGAGGCACAAACACATACCGAGCCCCACGTAGCTACCAATGCCCGCCGCTCCAAATTTCGCCGTGTCCGTCCCTCTACCGCACAGAAGATCACACACCTGTGCATCGCGATTGAGCAAACCTTAGAGTGAGGCAAGTGAGAATGAGACGCTACCGCTGCGCCGGGCGAAACTAGCTGCTGGAGGAGCACAGTCTTCACGAAATCGTGCAATCGACCGGGGAGACCGCTCCCCCATGGCGCCCAGCTGCCCCCAGCAGCAGCCATGGGGCATACTGTGATCGCTTAAACCCTAAAATTCGAAATAAAAAATTCTACATGAGGTAAAAATAATGCGAGAAGTTCCGTTGCCGGGAATTGAACCCGGGTCTCTCGGGTGAGAGCCGAGTATCCTGACCGACTAGACTACAACGGATTCGTGTTTCATGTAAGAGATATCGCTTAAAAGAAGGAAAAGGTCGCCTTTAGAACCCTAATAACAGGACACCTATTTTAGGGCTCTTGCGATGAGAGTGGTGGGATTGACTGGCGGGATCGCGTCAGGGAAGAGCACCGTCTCGAAGGAGCTGCGAGATGGCAGCGGCTTGCCTGTCGTCGACGCTGACAAGATCGCACGCGTAAGTGTCCCTCTTCTTGCTGCTTCCCGACGAAATTCTTGGCGATTTCTTCGCCAGACACGAAAATGCGCATTCCTTTTCTCCGATCCGCCACTCTGATCTTGACTGGCAGGCCGCCTTGCGCAAGAACACGCCCGGTTACAAAAGGGTTTTGAAGATTTTCGGCAAGGGCATCCTCCTCCCCGACGGCAATGTCGATCGCGAGAAGCTCGGCAACATCGTGTTCGCGGATCCCGCCCAGCGCAAGCTCCTCGACAGGTAAAATATTTCGAGATCACGCCAGGAACATCATTCTTTCTCCTAAGCCTCGAAAATCTTTTTCTTCCAGAGCCTTGGGTCCGGTTATTGCTCGAACTATGCTCTGGGATGTCCTCAAGCATTGGATCGCTGGGACACCCGTGCTGGTATTGGACGTCCCTTTGCTCTTCGAGACCGGCATGGATCGCTACACGAGCCCCGTGGTGGTAGTGTGGGTGGACGCCGACACGGAAGAGGAGAGATTGATCGCCCGCGACGGCCTCTCCCAAGAACAGGCGCGCAACCGGATCAACTCCCAGAGATCTCTCGACTGGAAGCGCGAGAAGGCCGACATTGTGATCGACAACTCGGGATCTTTGGAGCTCACCCAGCAGCAGATCCAGGAGTTCGTGGAGAAGATCACGACCGCGCCTCTCAGCTGGAAAGAGATGCTGTGCTCCAGGAACTTCGTGGGCAGTGTCGTGGCCGTGGCCATCGCCTCGAGCCTTTGCTGGAGGCTGTGTTCAAAACGTGACGCATGATATAAAGTGTTATATTCGAAAGGAATATTCACTTTTAAAAAGTTCCGCGCGCTGTAGAGCGAATATACCCGTTTAAAATATAGTGCCGCGAAAATTCACAACCTGAAGCGCTTCGTACTGATTCCGGGAGATCTTGCAGTGATCCAGATCTTGGTTGTGTTCTTGCCGTGATCTGGGACAAACATAATCACGAGTCAGTCGATTGAAATGGATGAATCGAAAACTCGTCAGGCAAACACCCGAGTCAGCTGTTAGAAGAGAAGTTACCTCGTCTCACGTCAAGGTTAGCTTTAGCGGCAGCGGAGGAAGGATCATGAGTTAGCCTCTCCAAAAATCCAGACATGGTTAGCTCAGAAAGATGTTAGAGAAAAAATGAACGAAAACGAAAAACGATGGAAAGATAATTGGCAGCAGCAACATCATCTTGTTCATCGTCCCAGAAGGAAAGAGATAATCACAATGAAGGAACCAAACACACACCACACATCCACACAACACAACACCACTCTTAACATACATACAAAACTCTCAACCAGTATTCACACAATGAATAAGCTTAGCTTCTATACAGAGAAGACTGCTTTTAAAGGAGAGATCACTCGGAACTCCCTCACTCCGCTATGACGACCGACCGACTGGTAAGACAAAATTGTTGTATTATCACTAATACGTAGACGACCGCTACAAAACTAGATGCTCGGCTATAGAAACACTCACAGGATTAGTGGGACACCAAAGGAACCACAGACCGACCCAGGAGAACCCCCAAAACTTTAGAAAGATGCAAGCGTAGAAAGACGAAAAGAAGAAAAAGAGAGAGAAAAAAAGAAGATAGAAAACCGAGGGAAAACTCCAGGCAAACGGACTGATTGCTCACCAGCTCTAGTTGCTTGCGTGTTTGGAGCACTCTCTTGCGCGTAGAGTAAAAAATCGAGAGAGGTTTCGGCTGCTGCTGCTGCTGCTGCTGTGTTGCTGTTGCTGTTTTGTTATGAGGCTCGCCTGTGTGTCTTGTTCCCGTCCATCCAGAACCACCGTGGCTCCTTCTACTTGCGAGTCTTTGCCCTCTTTAGTCCCGCGTTACTGAATGGTGACACGCTCCCACTCATGTGTGAAGGGCTCTCCTCCCTCAAGGTGCCATTGAGGAGGGCGAGTTCACGCAACTGCGCCTTCTTCACGAGGTCAACGGTTTCATCCTGTAAGGAAACATGTAAGAAAGAGTATGAACAGTAGCAAACAGAGGAAAGTCCTACCACTGGTCTCAAGAGATCCTCCAATATCTCCTTGGCCTTGGTCAGGTAGAAGTCTATCACATTTGCAGGCAATTCGGCCTCCACGAGCAAGTGAAGAGGCTCGTTGAGATGCTCGTAGCCTTGCTTGTCACGCATCTTTTCCTCCTGCGTTGCAAAAGGTTGCTCAGCACGGGCCCCTGGCGGAGGGAAACTTCTCTCACTCACCTTCGCAACGTCTTTGATCGAGCCCCGCCCCCGTATGTACACACGACATCGCGTCATCGACTCCACGCGCTTCAAAGAGTTGCCTCGGGGCCCCAGAATCCGACCAACAAAGTTAAACTGGAAGAAAAAGCAAAGAGGTCGTCATCCAGAAAAGCTTCCGACCGAGCTTACGTTTGGATACTTGTCCACTGGAACTTCAATCCGGATGGTCTTCTTCAAGGTCGGTCCAGCGGACGATTCAGGACTCCCATGCCACACACTCGAAGAAGACGGCGTTTGGACGAATCCCAGCCTCTGGAGATCCGAACACATGATCATGAGAAAGCCTCCGAGTTTGCACGTACTTACGTCCGACCATCCGCCACCGTTGGACATTGACGACAGAGGGCTCCCTCGATCCAATTCCTGCTCGATCTGAGGCCATCTCCTAGCGAATTCCGTGATCCGCAGTATCTCTGCGTTAAAAAAGAAGACAAGAGCCACCCAAGACTTTTAGTTTATAAAGCTTGCGAAGTCAAATACTATCCATGCACACTTAGCTATAGCTTGCAAGCTCATCGCCACACTAATTAACCTTGCATTGCGAAAAGGAAGAAAGAAGAAAAAGAAATGTCCAGGAAGGAAGGAAAAAAACAAAACCATCCATCTGTGTGCCTCACGAGCTCTCAGATCTAAATCTCGAAGAAAATGTGAGCCAAAGATCACTTACCCTCGTTGAGAAGCCGGCTGCAAATCGGAAGAACTTGCGAGAAAGGTCCCAGCTTACGCTGCTCCTCGAGAAGCTCCGCGAAGTACCTATAAAAACACGCGATAAGAATGAGTCTTTGCTAAAATCACCCAACCAAGAACACGAAGAACAAGAGAAAACATCCAAAATCCACACTCCGACCACACGAATCCCATCCAAATCCAAGGAAATCCCACACGAGTCGAAGTACCTACTTCTCGTGCTCCGACACTGGCGACTGCGAGCTGGAAGGGCGGTCGCGGAGAGATCCGCCGCCTCCCACGCCGCCTCCTCGATGCGGCGACGAGCTCGCGGCGGCGGCGGCAGCGGCGGCGATTGCCGATGGCGAGAACTGCATGTAGTGTCCAGACATGGCGTCCATCTTGAAGAGAAATCTGGGGAAGAAATGAGGAGAATCGAGGCGATGGAGGAGGAAGAATGGGAGGAGAGGAGAGAAAAAACTAGCAAAAGGGGGGGGATTGATTGATTGGAGGGGGATTGATTGAAAGCGCTGCTCCTCCAAAGAGGAGGCAGGCTCCGAAAGAAGGGAATTGTGGAGCGCCCTATGCCCGCATTTTATACTCTGGGCCTTTTTTTTTTCTTATATTGTATATTTTTTTTCCTTTCCTCTTTTTCTCCTTTAGGTGGTAGTAGCCATGGTTTTGTGTGCGTGATTTTTGTTACTATATAGTTGTTATGGTTTGATCTCACTTTGATTCGTCTTTTCTTTGTGAGTGGTTCCATGGTCTTGTCTTGTATGTGCTGGCCGAGAAAATTCTCCTTGCCTCACAAAACTCCATAGAAATCGTTTGGTTCCATAGCTGCTCGTCCCCTTCTCAAGATCGATCGATCGATCCTCCAATTTACTTAGTCTAAATTCCACACAACCAGCGTGTTATTCAATCGATTGATGATGATGCCGCACAACTGGACATGCTTGTTTCCACCACCACCACACAAAAAAAAAGGAGCATTTAATCAATACAACGAAGAGAAGAAACGATTTTCCCTCACCTCAAAGTTGACAACGAACGAAATTCTCTCCCCCCACGTCTACCGGTACTCTCGCTCGACCGCCATAGCCACGAAGAACACTAGCTTCGTCCAGTCAATAGTGGCTACCTATAAGATAGCCGACCTTTGCACCACTCCAGCAACATCGAGGTGGTTTGTGCACGGATTTCCACCCTTCCAGCCTCAATCAATAATGTCTGCCTGCGCGATGAAAAGGAGTGTTTCCAGCCGAGAAAAGTTAAAACGACGTACATACCTCTTTCCAAAATCTCCACAGTTATGAACAGCGGCATCTAGAACAGAGTTTACATGTAGATAAAATGAAAGGCAAGGCAATTGCATACCTCGATTCTTGCCGCTTGTTCCAGATCGATCTTTCGTTGCCACAAACAGTCGAACTTCAAACTTTCCTGGAAGTTGTGCATACTTGCGGCTAGTCTTCGTATAGTACCTTACGGATCTTCTCACTGGCCACGAAACGACACGGCACGATTTCCATCCAGCCTAGTTGCTTGCTTTTCCTCCTGGACTCTTCGAGCTCCGGAGTGTTATTTTTTCCGCCCAGGAATCTGTCCTCCACGCTATAAGACGTGGACTTTAGCTAACCTTCCTCCCGGTCAACTTCATATAGCGATTCCAAAGCCGCTCCAGCTCGCAGCTTCTCTAGAAAACCGCAAAGAACTGTTTTCCCAGCTGTGAGCGCTTTCTTCTCGCAGACAATGGCTCGCAGCGCAGCCTGTTTCCTGGCCCATGTTGTCGTCCGCATGTCGCTTTCACCACCAGTTAACTCGCGCAAGTCGTGCTCGAGATTGGTGGGATACTTGCTCCACAGATTTTCGCACGCCGCTATCAATCGCCTCAGCACCTCGCACTCGTTGTCCCGGTTGATCGGCTCCGAGAAGTACATAATCGCCTTTTGATACTTCCCATCGGACTTCCACCCGGCGGCGGAGAGCTCCCGGGGGCTCGCAATGGCCGCCCTCGTCCACGCGAGAACACTCTCGTCGACCCCTTCCGGAACGATGGAAACAAGCGTGCCTCCGGCGGGAAGTCCCAGCGCCTCGAGCAGAGCCGCGTTGGCGCTGCTCCTCACAGGGCCCAGGACTTGCGCCGGCAGATCCACCGCATAGTTCTCATTCTCGTCGTCTACGAAGCCATAGTCGAGGAAGAGCTGCGAGCCGGTGAGTGCGGGTCCATAGGAATCAAACACCTCGTCACCTTTCGAGTAGGACTTGTGAGCTTCCAGGCTCGCCGTCTTGGTGTCCTGGTCGAAGATGAGGCACGACTCCTCTCCGGCGGAGCTGCAATGGTTGAGCATGTCGGCCCAGGGGACGAGGCACAGCGTGTCGAAATCGTCGTCCACGTCGAGCTCCAGCGAGAAGGCGCGGCTGAGAAGAACGGCCGAGGCCCATCTCACGTCACCTTCGCTGAGAGTTTCACCACCCGGGAGGAACTTCTCGATCCCGGCCGTGAGCAGCGCTTCGTGATCTTCCTGGCAAAGCTTTAGTCGGGTGGCGATCGTATCGAGCATCGGAGATCCCTGGAGCAGCTCCTGGATCGTCTCGGCGGGCCACAGCAGCGGGTGGCTGATCGAGAGCTCGTCCACGGACGGAAGCGCGGCGATGTATGGATGCCAGAAGCTCTCCTTGCCGCGGGATCTCTCCACGAGCAAATGCGCGCACATTGTCAGCCATGGCCGGAAGTCATTCTTGCGCAGCATCGGTCCGACGAGGCGGCATCGCTCGGCCGTCTTCTCGGAGAGGAATGCTTGCAGCGGGACCTCGGCAAGAACACTGCCCTTGTCGATCGCTCCCGACGCGATCATCCCAAATCCATCCCTGCCACGGCCGAATCCCATGGTGTCGAAATCCAGCTGCCGGTGCTTCGTCATACCTCGCAGCCATTGCTTGAGGCGCTCCTCGCGCGCCGCGGCGCCGCGCTCCACCACGCCCGGAGCGTGACCTAGCAATGCCGCGCTGGGAACCCTAACGCTGGATCCCACAAGCACCGCCGCCATCGCCAGGCAAAAGGAATGAAACAATGTGGCTGGTAAAGTTAAAATTTCTCTTTTACCAAGGGAATGTTCTCTCTCCTCGAAGATCTGCCAGCGCCAAAAGACAGACGTTCACGTAGAAAGCAATGAAATCTTAGCCTGTGGGCATGGCAGCGCAACGACGCGGCTTATGCGCCGGTACAAGAATCGAATTTTCGGGCGTGGATCTATATGAAATCCACCATAGCAGAGAAGTTAACTGCTAGAGAGGTTTTGCTTGAGAATGGAACCGCGCACAAGAAGTTGATATAGTCACCGTAGCCTGTGCATGGATGGAATGGATGGTCGATCGATCTGGAGGCAAGAACACAAAAGTCTTATCTCGGATCCAGCGCGGCCTTTGGATTGATGGCTGGAACGACGAAGAACTCGAACGCTTGCTCGCGTTTCTTGCTCGTGCTAGAGGCCTTAAGGACAGGGCGCCGGTGGAAATGCTCGGAAGATCGCCAAAATGGACATCACGATGGCGCACAGCAGCTGCGCGGCACGCGAGTAATGGACACGGGACCGCGGTTGTAGGCAGTAGTCAGGGGCTCCAGCCGGATTACTCCTTCTTGAGCAGCGCCGCGATGCCGGCTCGCCATGCTCGTCCCGGGAACAAGAGACGTTCTTCCCTAGCATGTCAAGCTCCAACTGGATTCCTATATAGAGTTAGAAGTTCAGCAGGAACACTCTTGAAAAAGTTTTGAACATGAGAGAAGAGGCATTCTTTCAGGTTGCATTGTATGTTTCTAGATTCAATGGAAAAAAAAAACATTCGATTAATCTCCTTAGAAGCACGTAGCCTCAGCGTGGACTCCCTCCACTTGATCGAACTCTACCAATGCACTTACATCTCGATTAGATAGCCCTGCGGCAGCATTTGGAAAGCTCCTTTCGAGTTCTTTCTCGTCCTGGTTTTTAGGAAGAGCAGCAGCGGGTCAGCTTTGGGAACTATGCCCGGGATCCTTTTGAGTTCTATCTCGTTCAATATAGACCTGCCATCGTTCTCGTTTTCCTCGCTCTCAATTTACTCGAGATCATCCAGAACGATATCCAGAAAGAATTCATAGCCTCTCGGCAAGAATGCATTCACGCTGAGAACCAATAAACATTTGGTTTTGCGTAACTAGTCGTGAAGAAATTTTTGCATGGCAGGAGCTGCGAGTGAGAAGTTATTGGGCTTTTTTGAAAGAAGTGGAACTAAAAGCTTACTGCATTGTTATTGCGAGGACGCACCAGTCTACGTAGTGGTTTTCTGGCATGGCCCATCCATCACCAAAATTTACCAGTCTTTTTCGATTCTCGTATTTCTTTCTGATATTTAAATGATGTTTCAAATTATTGGCGCGGTTTTGCGCATAAACCTAAAACAGAGCTCCATGGGGTTCGGATCAGAAGGGGCGCTGGCCGATGTAATTCCCGGGCGGGTCGTAATTGCAGGAGATGAGAGTGTCACCATTGGGGCAAGTCGCGGTGGCACATCCCAATTTCGTCGAGTCCCTCCAGACAAGCTGCGTGTAGTGGCCACACATCTGGGCGCAGCTGTTCCCCTCGTAATTGAAGTGCTGCTTCTCATCAACCCAAGATTTGACAGCATCATGCGGCGACCATTCCTTCCCCGGGCTGCCCCAGAAGAGATTCTCGCCGTAGGGACCGTCCGAGTGCCTCATCGCGCAGCTCTCGTAATCCTTTTGGTGGTTCGTCCACCACAGCGAGTAGGCCGCCACTTCGTCGTCCCAGTGGAGCGCCGGCACGCCCATTTGCATCCGCTCCTGGTTGTGGGCCTCCAGAAAGGCCTGGATGTGCTGCGCAGTCGCACAATTCGTGCCCACTGCGAGCACTGCGAGCGCCATTGCAATCGCTAACGATGGGCAGCGAGAAAATCCCATGGCTCCCCGATCAGCGATCGATCAGATGACCGATCGAGAGAGAACTTTCCAATGGGATGGATCAGATCACACGAGGATGGAAGGAAGGACAAATGCCGGGGCTTTTAACCGCGAAGAGGTATGTGGACGATTCCCATTCCCTTTTTGTGAGGCACTTCAGCTGGACATTCCTAAGGGCATCGTCGCATCTCGGCCGCCCATCGCCTGGTCATTCTGGAATTGGCAGTTAAAACTTTGAACGTTTCAATATTTCTCTTGCAAAATTTTCAAAACCAAGGTAACGATATTAGGTCAAACTTTCCCTCCCTGATTTGGAAAAAGAATACTCCCATTTGAAAGGGGGACAAGGACAGTAATGCAGTAGGGAATCAGCAGCCAGGATTCCCCATCCATCGTTTTTGTATTTTCCCTCTCTTCCGCAAATCCGCTTGAAACTGAAAATCCCTCGCAAAGAATGAGCGCTTCCCTCCCTCGCGGCTCGCCGCGTTTAAATTGCCCTCCAAAACCTCTTAGGGTCTCTAGATCCCATCGCGCTCGCTCGCTCCGCTGCTCTTGGCGTGCCCGCATTGTCCATCGCGATCCCAGCTCGGGGTCGCTCTGCGAGCAATGGCCAGCAGCAGCGCAATCGATCTCGCGAGCAGCGCACAGATCCTGGAGAACGAGGATCCGGAGCCCAGATTAGGGATGGAGGCAGAGGAGGTGTTCTTGAGCAGGAAAAGGAGAAGCCCATTGCCGGATTGGTACTTCCCCAGGAGGCCGCTGCAAGACATCACCGCCATGGTGATCAATGCGCGGGAGGGCGGCGCGTCCCAGGCTCTGGTGAGTGATCCCATTTGGGTTCTCGCGATGTTTCGTGCTGATATTCTTCCATTTTCCAGGGCACAAAGTTTCTACCGGAGATCACGCAAGAAGCCAAGAAAGGGGATCTCATCACAGTCGAGAGAAGGATGCCCGGTAGCCAGAGCCAGTCCAAGAGACCAAGGCAAAGCATCAGTACCGTGAGTAGAGTCCCGAAAACTCCATCGATCACTCCTCCATCGCTCAGAGTGCTCAAAAGCTTTAGATAACAAAATAGGCATTAGTGCTAATCAAAACTGACAACCGGGGAGAGCGTCAGACTGAAGATCTGAAGGTCGCGTGTTCGATCCACGCTCGCCGCAACCATGTTAGCCTGGGTCGGTGCCTAATTATTCTTCGGACATCACCCTGATATTCTAATTTTTGGTCCACAAATGCCGTACGAGGTAGCCCCTGCAAAAGAGAGATCTTGCCAATGCAGTGCATTGTCCTCTCAAATCCGCCCCTCTTCGTGTACATACGAACCTGGAGAGGGGCGCCCGTCAAATACGTCAGGCCCCACCCCTGCATTTATGACTTACCAGGGCGGATGAGACGGGCAGCCGTCAGCGTCCGTCCCCAGCCCTAATTCCGTTCGCAAGGGAATGTTCACGACGCGCATATTCGGGCCCATATTGTGGTGATCGAATGCCAAAGCTGGGAATTCACAGCATTGAATCTGTTTTTCGGATGATTGGTGCCCGCCACCAACAACATTGCACTAGAAATATGGGCGCTATTTGGGATTGGGCATGTAGCGAGCATAGGAAAAGGATGGAGGGGGCCACATTAAAAATCGCAAACAGAGATGGCCTAACATACAAACGTTGCAAAAGAAGTCCAACATGGGGCTTTGCATCACTCGATTACAAAAGATTTCTCTAAAGGTATTTGTATACAATTCTATTTATTTCTCGTTTCTTGTTTTGCATCTCTGTGGCAGACGTATGGCTACGAAAGTTGCAAGGGCGTGTGGGCATAGCTAACATGCAAGCGTTGTAGCTCAAACAAATAAAATTCCCAAGCATTAAGTATTCAAGCGCCTTGGAATTGGTACTGTGAAGTTTTTCAAGTCAGAGATTGAGCCAAGACCCACTTTTCTGGACCTTTCTTAGGATGTCTGTTTGGCAATTCTCCTTTGTGGTCTTGGATTCAATCTTATGCTTTGTAGTTGGGCACGGAAAGATCTAAAATAACACAAAAGAACAACAAGATATGGTGAACAGCAACAACAACAGCAGCAACAGGGAATTATAATCTTTCTGCTCCTCATAATTCACTTCATTCCATGCATCATGTTTTGTTTGGTGTTGATGGAGGGTGACGTTTCAAAAATCTCCCCACATACAAAATTTTACGTGATGGTGGCAGGCGCGAGTGCAATATACAAATGCAAAAGGGGATTCATTCATTCTTGTGGTCTTGAAATCTTAAATCTCAGCATGGCCCAGCATTTGACTATGGAAGGCTTCTTGTTTCTACTGTGGGGCTCCCAAAAACAAAACCAACGAATCTCACGAAGAGGGTTTCTTCTTTCCTTCCTTCACTTTGGTACGCAGGCAACAACAGGGGTTACGCAGTACGCATCCATACCGCATACACGGAAATGGAATATAAACCAGTACAAGTACACCGACAAATGCATCAAACCAAAATACCCGTTTTAGGGCTGGCTTTAGGACATAAGTACTGTCTTAACGAACTCCGGATTAAAGAAGGGGTGCGCGGACCATGTACGGCCGCAGGGCGGTACTTGTGGCCAACGTGGCCCATTTCCCGCCCTTTCTCGTCTCCCCATTTCCCTTTCTTTTTTATTCCGCTTCTTTTTCCCACTACTTCTTTGTGGCTTTCGTCTTCGTCTTCCGCTGGATTTCTTCTTGCTCGCTTCCCCAGCTCTTTGATCCGATCCATCGCGCCATGCAGATCCTCCCCGCCAGAGCAGTGCCCCCGGCGCAAGTGGTTCGTGCGAGATTTCGGTGTCAGTCGCTTCGCCGGAGCTGCTGCTGCTGGGCGCGCTGCCGCTGCGACCATTGAGAGCGATCTCTAGGCGCGGCTGTGGCGATTTGTTCTTGGAGCGGCATCGGGAGATGGGAATTTGGCCTGCTCGGCTCGATCAAGCCGTCGGCGGTGACTGAGCGAGCAGCAGGCTGCCCGATTCGAGCTCCCAGGAGGATATTTCGGCCGCCGATCGCCGCATCGATCGGCCTTCTCGGCGGGGTCGGCTTCTTTCTTGGCCGGATCTTATTAGCTATGGCTCGGACTGGAGGCGCGGTACGGCAGTATGTCCGGTCAAAATTGCCACGGCTGAGATGGACGCCGGATCTTCACCACAGCTTTGTGAGCGCGGTGGAGCGGCTTGGAGGGCAAGAGAGTAAGTTCCATCTCAAGAAGAGAAAACTCACGATATCACGCGGAGAAAAAAGAGATCTTTCTTAAACAAGAATTTCCTCCTGGAAACTTTCTCTTGTTTCCTTTTCGAGGATTTCCGAGAATGCTTGTTTCCGCTTGATGGCCGAGTCTCATTTCCATTGTCACGAGAGCTCCTGCAGTTTTTCAGTGTTCTAACTTCGTTTTTCTGGATCGCAGGAGCCACACCCAAGCTTGTTCTTCAGCTCATGGATGTCAAAGGCCTCACCATCGCCCATGTCAAGAGCCATCTCCAGGTTGGTCGATGGTTTTTGCGAAATCCTTGCCTATGTACTCATCGGCTGGGTGTTGCTGCAGATGTATAGAAGCATGAAAAGCGATGAGAACTTCAATGGTATGGTTTGGCTATAATCTGCCAATGATATCCCAGTGTTCTATCTCGATCCATGATATAACATTATAGTTGCACGCTTCGTGCTGTGCAGTTAACACTCAAACCGATGGAGAGAGCATATCCGACTCGCAGTCTCCGCGAGCGGCAAGGTTTCCAGGCGAGTTCGTGCTCCCGGATCACGACCAAAGCGAGCGTTCATCGCTTTACAACAACAGCCATTTACATCCAGAGCCAACGGTCCAAGGTGCGGTACTCGCGTCTACGAATCGATACAGCCCGAGCATAAGGTAACTCCATCCGTCCATGGTTTTGTTCTCAAGAAGCTTCGAGAAATGATAATAAGTTTGTGTGCGACTAGCAGATGTGACACTTCGAGCGGCCCGTGCATAGCATGGCCAGGAGATGTGAGCGATCATGGATCTGGATTGTGCTGCTTCCGGGAGTGGCAGGGACGCGAGTTCCATGTCGCGGACGATGCACTCCAAGCTCCGGAGCTCGCTGGCGGATTTCGGAGAAGAAAGAGAAGTTGCACGCGAGAATGTCCGAAAGACACCGTGTCGCAAGCGTCCGAGGTCAGAAACGGCGGCCATGCTGCTGCCGGGTACGAGAATTTCGACTTTTTGGACATAAACCGTAGCTCTAGCAGCAGAAGCGACGACAAGCGGGAAACCCGACAGCTGCTGCTAGTGAGTGTGTTTATATCCTTTTGGCCGCTTGAGTACTGAGAATGTGTAATCTCCAGAGCGGCACACTTTCGGAGCCAACGCGAGAAATTCACGGCGCAGAGCTCAAGCTTGGAAGCAATGTGCTCGACTTCCGGATCAGTCTGCCGGGGCTGCTCGAGGACGACGACAAGCTCGTCGACAGCACGCTCTCACTCTCTCTCCCCAATAGCAGCAGCACTGCGACCAGCAGCTTCTCTCGTCATCAGCAATTCCCAGAGAGACCGAGTCCCAGTCCGACTGCGTCGACTCGCCACTGGAACCAAGCCAGTGCACAGAGATCATCCATGGCGAAGCCGACGTTCAAGCTGGAGCACACGAGCAACAGGAGGCCTCCCAACCTCGACTTGACCATGGCAATTGGTGCCGGCTAAAACTCTCTACTCACTTTTTACTGCCTCGAGCTCGGACTTAGTGCGGTGACTTTACAAAGGCACAGCTCGCGGATCCGAAAGCAAGAAAGAGGCTGTTGTTGGTGCATGGTGGTGATGGTTCACAAGTTTTTTTTCTTTCGGGTGTCGCTCCTCGACAGTAGCGCTGAAAGTACTCTGGGCATCAACCAGAGTACTCTCATTGTATCAATCAGAGGGTCGGCAGTGGCAGCAGGAGCAGCATGCTCATCAGTGCTCGGCGATGAAAAATCGGTCCCGACTGATCACTTATGATCCATGGTGGGAGGGATAGATCACAGACAGATAAAAGTTGCAACAACTGGATTGGAAGGGAAGAGATCGCTGAGCAGTGGTGTGTCGGTCCAGCCAGCCAGCAGTCCTATATAGCTCTCGACGGATAGCCTTTGGAAGTAGTAAGTCGGCTAAGCGTGAAGCAAACCTCTCGCGTGAATTATTGATCGATTTTGCAGCTCCGCTATAGCCTGGGCCGTGCTGGAAAACTTTTCAAAGTGGTAAAAAGACAGCAGCGAGAGGTTTGGGGAAATTTCTTTGTGCTGCAGCTGTTGCTGCTGCTGCTGCTGCTGCTGCTGCTTCTTCTTTTTTTTTTTTCAACCGTACACTGTTGTCGTGTCAATTTTTTTGGTTTTGGCCACCACGGCAGGCTATAGTCAGTATATATAGAATGCCGGACTGGTTTCAAGCTTCGTTCCAGGCCCCACGAGCTCGTACGCGCTGAGAGCAACAGGCGTCCGTCCGGCGAGCTTCGTGTTTTTATAGGCTGCGCCGATCGATTGTTGTATACAATCGTGGTTGCGTATGATCACACGCAACGCAAGAGAGATAAGTTGACAGAACCGAGAAGCGAGTAAAGGCGATATCATGGAGGAGCCTCTCCCTGAAAAGTTTTGATACCGCCGAAAGCTCGGTCCGGTCTAGACTTGAGCGAGCTTAAAAAGGTTTCAAACGTGTCGAGCCGATCGATTGGCGGAGAGGAGAGAGGGGCCAAGAATGTTTAACTTGCTCGCCACTTGCGCAATGGAAATGGTTTTTCTTTTCTACGTACGGAGATTGGGAGTGATCGTCAGTCAGGAGGACGTAAGGCCTAAGCTTGAAAACATCCAAGTCCTATAGACTGTGGCTGTCCGGAGGAATTTTCTTTCGTCAATAAGTAAAATACATGTACAGAAAGGAACGGAAATGTAAGAGAGAAACAAAGACGGTAAATGAAAAAGGAGAAGAAAAAAACATCCCTGTATTTTTGTAGAATTCGTGTACTGTAGCTACCAGGGAAGTGTGGAAGTGTGTACCTAGAGTTTTCATGGCTGGCTCACGTCCAGTTGATTGACATGACGCTCTTTTGGCAATGAAAAGTCGGTTTCCTTCCGGTGGTGGCGTACGGAACATGAGGGCCGTGGTCAAAGTACTTTGTTTGGGCCATTGCACTGCATTGTTTTAAGGTGAGTTGAAGTGGACCACGTTGTAGGTGGCTTTGATTATTCGATGGCAAAAAGTAGAAAACAATGGTTTCCCAAGTTAGTGTGGATAGTACGTGGCTGGCTTAGAGCCTGGATTTGTTTGGGAATGTCGATCGAACCCCACTAATTAATCCCGCTCCAAATCCGTGTTCTTCTCGGCGATGGATCCCAAAAGCTTAGCTTTTTTCTAGAGTTAAGTTTCGCTTGGCTCTCTCTCGCAGTGTGTCTTGTTCGCGGAGGCGCTTTGCAACAAAAACAGTGTCGCGCTCAATCATTCACAGTCGTTCGCGATGCCGTGACAAGACGCTGCTCGTTGTTTTTCCCACCTCTGGAAGATTCACCACTGTTTAGCGAAGAAGCCAGGATAAAAAAAAGCTCGAGAAAGCCAACCGACAGCCACACTCCCAATCGCCATCTTCGACTTCTGGCGCTCGCTTAGAGCAAAACCACCTGATTATTAGCACGCGGCCACTGCACTGATCCCGTTGACTATAAACATTCCCACCCAGGCTATGGATTTTCCTCCCTCGTTCTTCCCTTGGAAGTGGAATTTTCTATAACGGAGCTCGAAGTTGGTGTTGAGCTTCTTCTTCGCTTCTCTTTTCTTGTTGGTGTTGGCGACAGCAACCACATCACCAGACATTTGGGCATTTAAGTCTTAATCCCCCGCAGATTTGATACGAAGAAATCTTTCTGAGAGCTGCTGCAGCTTGGCAACGGACACCGATTATTCGTTTGCTTCCTCGATTTTCATTTTGTCCTCGGCTTCTCTGTTCCTGCGAGTGACCCTAGCCTCCTGTACACAACCCCCTACACTTTAAATTCTCCTCCTGCTTTCCTGTTCCCCCTCCAGGTCCCTATATTTTTCTCCTCTTTTTCTGTTTTCCCATCTTGATCGCAGCAGCCACTTCTGACCCCAACAATTGCTCTGCCACTACTGTTGCTCGAGGCCGACGGATCACTCTATCGAGCAGACTACGAAAGCGGAGAGCCCAGCACACCCTTGGAATCATACACAATAAAAGAATGCTACAGCAGCTGCACAGCCCAAGCTTCGAATTAAAAAGAAAAAAGAAATGCTGTACCTCCCGAGGTACCAAACGATAGGCCATCACCAAAAAAGGTATTGCTTGCCACACAGCCACACCACCTTTCCTTCTGCTTCGTCTCCTTCCTCGTCTTCGTCTAAAAGTACACAGGAAGCCATTGTTGCAGCGTCACCTTAGTGTTGTTTTGGGAACTCTCGTTGCCCAGTCAGTATCTCCTGCGAGCTTTCTTTGCGGACACAGTGTCGTCGCTCCTCCTTCAGCTCTCCTTCAGAAATGAGTCGCAGGGATCGGGATATGTCTGTAGCCCGTGAACCGGGCCCTCGTCCGGGAGAGAGTCCGAAGTTAACAAGACGTTGGCACCGGGCTCGTCGCCAACGTTGTCCTCTGGCTTGAGACCTTCGGACTCGACGCGCTTTAGTTTCTTCGCGGGCGGCTGGCCGCCTTTGTCAGTTTCTGCTGCGGATTGACTTTGCAGAACAACCATATCTTCCTTAGCTCCTCCGAGCTCTGGCACTCCATCGATTGTCAGTGTTGGCTCGCCTTCGTCCTGCTGCACGCCGGGTTGTTGTCCTTTTAGCATCCCCCGCATTTTCTGCTGCTCTTCTATGATCTTGGCTAGGTACGTGGACTGGGCTTCGATTCTCAGCTGCAGCTGCCGTTGGACCTGGCAAAGAACCAGATTTCAGTATCTCCATGCATAAAAAAAAACTTGCGGATTTTTTGCTTTTCATCTACCTCGAGTTGCTCGTGTAGCCGTTTCTGAACTTCCATCTGCATTCGTAAAGCCTCTGTGAGTTGTATGCCTCTGCACAGACATTTAGATGATAAATACCTCCCAGAGCAAACAATGGAAAACTACTTACGACGAGGGATCCAGACATGGTACCACATCCAGCTTCTTGTCGCCATCGCCTGCATTGACGAGAATAAGTTGCCAAGGCTCAAGATAAAAACACGCATCAAATAACGTACCATCACCGGAAGAATCTGGAATAAATTTCGCAAGGCGATACTTCTGCGACAGCAACACAAAGATTCCAGTCAGACCATATGAAGGAAAAGAGGAGCAAAACACGAGCACACTCGCGCACCTGCAAGTGACTCTTGACGTGATAAATGGTCAGCCCGTGCACTCCCATGATCCTCAGCACTCCTTTCGGGGTGGCCCCTAAAATGGGAAATCCATAAAAAAAACCGTTGGCGTGCCATGAGTAATATTCCACGGAAAAACGAGAAGTAAAAATGCAAAAAAAAGAGCAGAAAAGAAAAAGAAGAAAAAAAAAAGAGAAGAAAACTTACTGTCTGGACCACCCAGCTGCGTCACAGCTTCCACAAAGCGATCATGTAACTCGGATGTCCAGCGAAGACGCTGCTTGACGGAATTCCCAGCGCCACCAGCGGAGGCGGGGCTGCTGGGTCCATTTGCTCCACCACCAACACCGCCGCCGCCGGGACTTCCTAGCGGAGGAGCCTGTGGCGGAGGAAGAGGGAGTGGCGGCGGCGGGGGAGTAGTAGCCATGGTAGTCTGTGGAGCTTGGGTCCTTGGTTGCTGCATTACACTTGTTGAAAGCTTCTTCACCTGGTACATGGGACCCTGGGAGGAATCAAAAAGAAGAAAAAAAAAAACAAGGAAAAGAAAGTCATAGTTAGAAAAAAAAATAAAATTAAGTGCTTCGTCGTTCGTTCGTCCTAGGACACTAAGAAACAAGGGAAATTGGCAGGCAGGGACTTAGGTCAGGCGGACAGGGAGCTGTGGAATCCGGGCTAGATTTCGGCCGATCAGGAAGCGCTAGGCGCGATCTAGGAGCCGAGGCGACATACCTGAGGGGAGAATGCGGCCGCGCGGGCAGCGACGACGCCGTCCCGTGGCCAAAAGGACGCCCGATTCGTCGCAGACCTGGAACAATAAACCCTAGAGGCGATCTGGACGCCGGGGGCCGCCCCCGGGCGCTAGCAGAGATTTGGCGCTCCTTTGGAAGAATCTATGAAAAAACCTCGGGCATATGCTCCCTTCGAACGCCGATGCATCCAAAGAGGAACCTTGGCATATCCTAACCCTGGGATATTCTTGGCTTGGTTCTTCTCCTATGTATCGGTCGTGGGTTCGATCCCCTGACTGCCTACGCTGACGTGGCCTTATCCACTTTGTCTGTGCTTTCCCGCGCAAATTTGAAATTGTAGGGTGTGAGGAGCTAGCGAGGTAGGGTTGGATCAAGATGGAAGATGGAGAGGATTCGAGCTGCGAGGCGTCTTCTTTGCTGGAATCGGCGGCGCGGGACACGAGCAGCAACAGCGACGGCAGCGGTAGGGCGTGTTTGTCCGCGGAGGCCGTCCAGAGGCTCGCGGCGGTGTTTGGGGACAGGGGCAGCAGCCATGGAAGCTTGTGGGAGGAGCTCTCGGCTCGGCAAGTGCCGCTGGGCGCGCTAGTGGATCGGTTTGTGGGCACTATGGAGACGCCGGGCAGGATTGGCGTGGAGGCGGCATTTGTCTACTTGGGTCTTCTTCTCACTCCGGACTGCCCCTTATACAGCGTCTTTAGCTCGCTCGCGTTTCAAGTTCTTCTCCGCTGCCTACACAACTCTTTCAAGCCCAGTGGAGCTCCAGAGGAGTCCGGCAGCGGCCGGAAGAAGATCCAGAAGAAAGGGAAGAGAGCACGAAATGTGGAAGAGGGCAACGAAGAAGGTGCTTCACAGGATGATCGAAGTGGTGCGCTAGAAGTTGGTCCAGTGCTCTCTCGTCTGCGAGCGGCTTTGCGGGTGATAAGTTTGAGAGATCACCAAGGAGCTCTGAAAAGCCTTGTAGAGTTTCTCGTGGAGCTGCCCCACGCAGTGACAGGCGCTGCTGTGATCCACACTACGTTTGCGATGCTGGAAGATCTGCTCCAGCCGAAGCATGGGGACGTACCCGAGACAGCGATTCTGGTTTTGAAGCTTCTGACGCCGAGTCTTCTCCTTACGCGTGCCGGAGGAACTTCTCAGCAAAAGTTGATGATACGATCAGCAGCCATTGAGCATGTTGCAAACTCCATGCTGGGGGAGGAGTGTGGAGATAGCCGAGCTGCAGTGGTTGCTCTGACCAGGTATTTATGTTTCAAGGCTCCCGAGAAAACCGATGCCAGGATGCAAGCGGTGGAAACAGTCATGCACTTCGTTAAACATCTAACCGCTACGGAGCAGCAGGAGTTTGGAAAGTTCGTCACCAAGCTCTCTCGAAGCAAGCCTCGCTACAGGCTGCTGGCTCTGGACCTCTGCGGCTCACTCTTTTTTCAGCTGCCTGATCCTCTGGGAGTTGACGCAGCCGAAGTCGAGCGTGCAGCTGGCGACGCAAATGGTGGTAGTAGCTCTGACGGCTCAAGATGGGGAATCGCATGCTTGGAAGCAACACTGCAACGGTGCTCGGACAAAGCTCCTACAATCCGAGCACGAGCGTTGGTAACTTTGGCTCATGTCATCGAAGATCTTTCGGTGCACGTAAGACAACGGAGTTACCTGCAAGAGCTTTTGGCGGGGCTAGGATCTTCGACTGGGAACCGTCTCTCAGATGATGGGAAAAGTTCATGGGATACGCCGTTCCACGCCATGGGTGGCGAGAACTTGTTCACCGTCCCAGGAACACGTACTCAAACGACTCCAGCCTTCCTCAGTCCAGGTGCACACAAGGGGGACTTGGGGTCACTGATTAGTAAAAGATGCTGTGACGAGAAGGCGGCTGTAAGAAAGGGAGCCCTTCTTCTCCTGACCAAGGCAGCGATTGTCATGGGAAAGACTCCTGATGAGCAGATGTTACAGGCTATGGGCATTTCTTGTTCTGATTCCATGCTAAGCATTCGGAAAGCTGGTCTCGGTGCGTTGGCCGAGGTAATTCACTCTCACGATTCTCTTTGGCGGTTTTCTTACGTGTGTACATGCAGGTCACGCGAAAGTTTTCTAAAATCAAGCCGGTGGTGAAAGAATGGCTGGAGTCTGCCTTACCCCTTGTTATGGATAACGAATCAAGTATTCAAGAAGAAGCTGTCGGACTCTTCAAGGAGCTGGTTCTAGATCCTATATCATCCGTATCGGTTATGAAGCTCTCGGATGACCGGTTACTAGCCGTTCTACTGGATAAATCAGACGAACCAGAGAAGTCGGTGCCGCCAGGGGTGGTACATTTCCTAAGTGGCCTTGCCGAAAAGAACGATGCTGCACCTTTCGTCAAGCGAGCCTGCGCGCGCCTTGGGAAGACCAAAGGTCTAAGGCCGAGTATCGTCATGGCGTTGCAAAGCATTATTACTGCATCAGAGGATCTGGGACGGAAGGAGAAGTCTTTTGATGGCAGACGGGTTGAAGCTGTAGCCCAGGGAGCATGGTTTCTACTCTCGGAGCTATCACTGTTTCTTCCGAAGGTCGTTGGCTGGGATTTTCTCCGGAAGCATTGGCAGTATTCAACGTCGGCAGCTTCGGCAGCCAGCCGGGTGCATCTTCTTCAGACGATTGCAAATGTCGCCACCGAGCTTCCAGCAGACGCGGCTACGGATCTTGCCGACGAACTCTTGAAGCACTTGGAAGATTTCAATATGCATCCGGTGGAAGTGGGAGCACACGTAAACGCTCTCACCACCCTCTGCCGTCGGAAGGCTGCTTCGGAAGATGAAGGTGAGGAACTTGTTACCGAATGGGCAAGGCAGCTGCTTGAGAAGGCCGAAGCAATCGTAAGAGCCTACGTCTCTCTCGACCGCGAAAATATGAACTTTCAGACACCTATAAGCATCAGAAGAAGGCCTGCTGGCGGAAGAAGCACTCGGAAGTCGAGACGGGTGGAACCTTCTTCTCAGATCGTAACTGCCGTATTTACAGTTGGAGCTATAGCACTTGTCTGCCCGGCGGGGAACACTGGCAGCATCACATTGCTTCTGCAAGAACTCGTTGGAGAGAGCACTGACGGGAATCTGCTGCGCGATCCTGCTGTAAGCACACAAACGTGGCTCACACTGGGAAAACTTTGCCTCGCAGACGATAAGCTAGCGAAGCGTCTCATACCTCTTTTTGTCCAGGTAGGGGGGGGGGCTTATAGACTTGATATGGTATTAATCAAAGCAAGTTTTTCAGGAGCTCGACCGTACTTCATCGGCTGCTACACGCAACAACATCATGGTGACCTTGACTGATTTTTGTGTTCGTTATACAGCACTTATAGAAAGGTAAACACTATATTGTTTCTAATGTTTGCCAACGCATGGTGTGCAGCTACATTCCGAAACTAACAAAGTCTTTGCGGGATAGCTGCGAGGTTGTTCGAAGGCAAACGTTTGTACTTCTGGCTAGATTACTTCAGGTTTGTGTGTTATCTGAGTTATCACCTTTAACCATGCTACGCTAACAGCGGGACTACGTCAAATGGAGGGGATTGCTGTTTCATAGATTTCTTCTTGCGTTAGTTGACGAGTCTCCCAAAATATGTCAAATTGCTGACTTCCTGTTCGGAAACATTCTCAAAAGTAAGATCCGTTTGTTGCTATCTTTATTTTGATTTCTGTGATGGTTTGCAGCGAAGGCCCCATTGCTGGCATACAACAGCTTCGTTGAGGCTATTTTTGTTCTTAACGATTACCAAGGACAGTCTAGCGGTAGTAGTGCTCTTCAGTCCTCAGAAAGCGAGCGCGATCTTTTCTCTCTCAGGTAATCACAATATTCTTTTATACCTTTCTCATGTTCGGTCTGCTTACAGAGGAAGCACTCAAGCTGTGGTTTCAAAGAGAATGTACATCTATACAACGCTATTAAAGCAAATGAGTCCCGAGCATCTTCTTGCGACCTCGGCAAAGCTATGTGCAGAAGTTTTAGCTGGTGCCGCTGATGGTGTGATTGACATCTCTACAGTTTCTGGAAAATGCGTTGTTGAGGTACGTTAGTGCGCAAGCAGTTTCCTTACACTAAGGTGCTTCTCATCGTTTACAGGATACCCTGAAAATATTAGCATTAAAAGAAATGAGGCTCGGAGGTAACAAAGCATCCTCTAATGTGGCAGAACAAGCTGACGAAGAGGAGAATGCTGCTACTTTTGCTGCTGTGAAGGGCAAGGTTGTTACCCAGCTTGCCAAAAGAAATCTCGTTCAAAATGCGATTCCTATCTTTATAGAGCTGAAGCGGTAAGCTAGGCTATTCAAGGGATTCCTTCTTATTACATGTTTGTGTCCTGTGCAGTCTACTTGAAAAAAGCAGCAGTCCACTCCTGGGTGCACTGATGGACTGTATGCGCTCAATGCTCAAAGATTTTAAGAACGAAATCGAGGAAATGTTGGTGGCGGACAAGCAGCTTTTGAAGGAGCTCATCTATGATATGCAGAAGCACGAGGCCGCTAAAGCGCGCGCTAAAGCTGCAGCAGCTGTACAACCAGAGCCGCAAAAGCAACAATTTGGGGGTACAGCCGCTGGCAAGCCACACGAAGAAGCTGCCAGGCCGCCTGTTCTTTCCGCCTTGAAAAAGACGCCAGCAGGGAGAGCTCGAGTGACTTGGCTAGACCAAACACCGCAACTCAGGGGACTCTCATCAGCAGGTTTTATTTCACCTGGAGCTCTCAGGAGTCGCGGTGGCATTGCCGCTGTAGTCTCTCCTCAAATTCTAGTTGGTGCCGTCGGGGACATCGCTGCTGCTGCCACCGCGGCCTCCGTCCTACAAGACGCTGCAACTGGAAAGTCTACACCTCTCCGAGCAATGTCGTTGCCAAGGCTACGTACTGCTGGAAACAGATGGCAAGGTGGGACTGCGACTTGCATGCATGCAAGTCCCATGCAACTGCCGGTTGATCAACTATAAAACGTCGTCCTCGTTCCGCAGCTCTCCTCACCAGGCAGGCAAGTCTCCAAGTTCTCGTCTGTTCTTCCTCACCAAGCCGAGAGGTTTTTGTTTTTCTCTTTAGGAGAATGGCCGGCAGTGCGAAGCTTTTGGGCGTGGCAGCGCTGCTGCTGCTGGTGCTCGTCGCGGTGGCGGACGCGAGGAGGCAGTCCCCGGCGTCGAGGCGGTGCCGGGAGCTGGCACAGCAGCTTCAGAAATGCGAGAGCATCACTCCTCTCCCGCAGGAGTGCTGCAGCATGGCCGACGAATACCGTCGCAAGTGCCGCAGCAGCTCTCGCGGCAGGAGAGCCCGGATTGACGAGGAGATCCTCGACCGCTGCCGCGACGAGCATCGCCGCCGGCAGGACGAGCTCGATGAGGACGACGAATTCTTCGTTGGCGACAGCGATGGTGATGAGGTCCACCACTACAGTTAAGCAAGTTCTCTTTTTTTTCTCCTTGATCTTTGTGCGAAACTTTGGCGTCTAAACGATTTCTTCCTTGCAGACCAGAGGAGCGGATTTTTCTGAAAAGATGGATCTCGCAGTGAAGAACACAGTAACACCGATAAGTAGTAGAAGAATAACGTGTTACTCTCGCTTTTAATTTAATTCAAACCTTATACAATCACCTTCGCGGTTTTTGTTTGAATCTAGACCGTTGGATTTGGTTGTCGTTACAACTGTAGGGAGTGGGGCTCAAGAACCCTCCAGGATTGTTGAAGGCCGTCGCCATGGACGACTACGTGATGCATATGACGCGCGTGAGCTTGCTAGACCAGCGGCTCGAAGAGAATCCTCTCAATGCCAAGGTAATCGCATCTATAAATCGATCGAATCCACTGGGAAATCTTGGATCAATCAGGTCAAGAAGCTTGTGATCAGCCGGATGATGTACGCTGGGAGAGCGGTCAAGGAGACGGACAAGGAGCGAATGACAAGTAGTCGAATAGATTCTTTTCACTCCAAATATATCTCCTTTCTTTCGCAGATTATCACCAGGAAATGCTCCACAAGATCGCTGGCAAACTCGACAAAGTCTCTGGCTTTCTTCTAATCTATCCGACCTGTTGCCTACATTTGGTCGAGGTAGAGATTTTTCTTTTTCTTTCTCGATTCAGATCTTTGATCCACAGGCCGAGACCGTGATCTTGATGCAACTTCTCAAGAATTTGCATGCTGACACCCGGCACCTCGATTCAGTTTGCCTTCTCTCCTTCACGGAAGATGTGAGGCTCAAGTTCTAGCTATCCTTCTGTAGAAACTTATGGTTTTTCTCTTTTAGAACTGTCCAGGTGCCATACCGTTCTTTCACGAGCTGGATGACGGGGTTTATAAACTCGTCAAACATGGGACCTTACGATCCTCATCCGAAAAACAGCCTACTTACAGCGGTATGTTGTGGCAAACCATCGGATTCGTGAGAGACGTTGGCGTTTCTCTCCAGGTCTCCGAGCTGAATGTTAATATGCTGAAATGGGGAAGGCAGCTATCGGAAATGGACGAGGTACGCTCCTTTTCTATTTTTCCGATGCTTTTTCTTTGTGGATTGATTTTTTTTGGTTTGCTCAGGAACAAAGATTGGTTTCACTCGATTCTGTCCGGACAGCTGCCGAAGAGCTTCTCCCCGATGATGCCGGAGTTATAAGTGGAAGTAAGTAGTAGTTTCCCTGACTCTGGCTAAAATTCCTCGCAGTTATTTTGGCCGAAGATGCTCCCAAGCTCAAGGACGTTCTGGAGCTGTATGATCAACCTCTGGATGACATGATATTTGATGCAGATATCCTTATTTTTTCTTTCAGTTTTACTACATGCTTTTTCTTGACAGAATCTTCACAGCTTGTATGGCCCAAACCAAAAGCACCATTTTCATTGTCCCCACCTACAATCTATTTCACTCCACCTGCATCTCAAGCTGCTTGAATATGTAACTAGCTGAAGCAATAACTTTATGAATTTTCATTTTTATTTATATGTATATTATTTATTTTATTATTGATATATAAGTAAATAATTTTTAATAAAATTAATTTTACTTCATATTAAATATTATGTAAATGATTGCTATTTTAATGATTTAATTCTTAGTATGGGTTTTTTAATTAAAATTAATAAATTTTGTTATTTATTCTTATAACATAAATTTTCTACTAATTTGAGCTGAAAGTTTTTTTTCTAGATTATCTATATTTTGATAAAATTTTTGATCTCTAAAAAAAATGATACCAAAAAAGACTTTAATATTACAGACTGAAAAAAATTTCAAAATAAAGATTTACACATTATTAATATAATTTCCCTATCAAATAATTATATATATATATATATAAAATTATTATATTACCTAGGCAAGTAGTACATACATATATATATATATATATATATATATATATATATATATATATATATATATATATATATATATATATATATATATATATATATATATATATATTATATATATATATATATATATATATATATATATATATATATATATATATATATATATATATATATATATATATATATATATATATATATATATATATATATATATATATATATATATATATATATATATATATATATGTATGTATGTATATATATATATATGTATGTATATATATATATGTATGTATATATATATATGTATGTATATATATATATGTATGTATGTATATATATATATGTATGTATGTATATATATGTATGTATATATATGTATGTATATATATGTATGTATATATATGTATGTATATATATGTATGTATTTATAAAATTTATGGGAAGACAGAAAAAGTCCCTTAGTTGATAGGCTGGAATTTGGAGGACCATAAGAAGAAAGCACTAGTAGACCTGTAAGTAGTGCAACTTGTTCAACACTTAATATAATCCCTTCCACTAAGTTGTGGGTCAAAAGCAATGGAGAAAAACTTAAATTTAATGCCTTAAGCCACTAAATAAAGAGACAAAGCCAAACTTTTGAGCATAAAGTCAAAAAGTGATAAAACCAGATTATGGAATAACTTTAAGCATACAATAAAAGAGAAAAGGGATAGGAACACAGGGTTTAGTGCTATCTCAGTATATTAGTGGCTTAATGCAAGGATATAAGTACTCTACCAATTAGCATGATATAAAGCTTAGGCTCAAACTAAAACTAGATATAGAATAAAGATACATAAGTATGAATTATATTTCAAATTGGTTGGCTATATCTGGCTTATCCACTATCCTTATTATACATTTGGAACCTCCTATAGGCCCCCCTCTACACACTTTAGGTTTTCACCTTAGTCCCAAGAGTTAACCTTTGGGACAGTCACAAAAATTTATTAAATATAAAATAGTGCTAAATTACAAATTTGGACATGAGAACAATATGACAATCTTCACATTCCATAGATTAGTAGATTTAGACACTTTCTATAAATAATTAATGGAACTGAATATAACTAATAAGTGACTTGGTGAATATGGTAAATTATCACTTAGTGAGTATTGAAGGATTAAACTTAATATCATAGGGGTTTTTATCCTTAGCCAGTGCAAGACATAACAAGACTTGAACTCCTTACCAAGTTAAATATGCTTAGTTAATAGCACTTAAGAATTCTATCTTTATGCTTGTCTGATCTAAGTACACTCAAAATGCCCAGTTAACTCCACTAGAATAAGAGGGACTAATAAAGGGTCTAGCAATATCAATCTCTTATTTTTGTAGTAGTAAGAGAATAATATTTAAAAAGACTTATTGATAAATAACTTTTAATATCCATAGTCATCTTCGGGACAATTCACTTTATACTCCAAAGGTGGATAATAATGAGTTGTAATGCTATTATTCTCCCACTTGTATGCGGCCTAAGTGTTCAATAAAATCCACTTGAACTAGTGGAAGAATACTCATCAAATACTAATCCTAATACATAGCAATTGCACTGGGAAGATGGAAAACCTTAAAATGTAACAAAGTATTAGTAGTTTGTGGCAATTGTGAAGGTAAATTTAACTCTGTTTGCAATATTAAATTATGACCATGTAAGAGTTTATATATTAAAGCACTAATAAAACTTTATATTCCCATGATATATGCATACTAAAGAGATGGTAAATAATTATGCCAATCCAAATGTTAAAGGTTCACATATATTGTGATAATCCTTTTGAAGGTTTAAACAAGCAAGATCAAATTTGATGATCTTATAAAGTCAAATAGTAACTTCCACTCACCAATTCAAATAATTAAAACACCTATTGAGTCAAGTAGTTAGAGCACCAACTTCCACTCACCAAATCAAGTAGTCAGAAGTAATAATACACTTCCTTTTAGAACATTGACTTCCACTTACCAAGTTAAGTAGTTAGAAGCAATTAAAAACAATTATAACATACTAAAAATTTGAGTCAATAATGATATTTTTAACAGACTTATATAACTTCTTAGTCTTAAATAGTTACTTACAAATATTCTATATGCCTTTCTATAATAAGAGATATATGGTAAGTATAAAGAAAATATGGAATAAAGATCAAAGATACTATTAATCGTAAATGGTCATCAAGATCATTCTCCACAAAGTAAAGAAGGTCATCCTCAAAATAATATTGAGAATGTAAATGTCAAAATAACAAATCATCAATAAATGATGTAGGATTTTTAAATCTATCATGGAGCCTTTAAATCCATGACTTAACCTTTTAAGCATCACAAACTTTGTTAAGAGAAGGTAAATCTAACATCACATCTTATAGATACTGAATATCAGGCATAACAACTACCATGGCATGGAATCCTTATAAAAAAAATTCATTAATGCTAAAATAACAAGCTCATCAAGAACATAAGAAGGAAAGGAAAAAATAGAGAAAAAAAGGAGAAAAACTTGAGAAAGGGCATCAATATCAACTACAGAACTCTCTGGGAATGAATAATCTTAAAGTTATATATTTGAAGCTTTAGATCCCACCGAGCAATATAATCAATTAAATTCTTTTATTTCAATAGTGAAGTGATTGCAACATAATCATCCTTTAGGAATGTTCAAGATTTATGCAAATACATATAAAGTTTCTCAAAACCTAAACTATAGCTAAACATTCCTTCTCTATTATGGAGTAGTTCAATTGTCGCGAATATGACTTTGGGTATCAAAAGTTACTTGTCAGGTGTTCTTTTGGATATTCTTTTCTTACTTCCACAATGGTAGGAGGTTAAGATTGCTGAACCCGTTATCAGTTCCCACTTGAGCTAGTTGAGAAACTAGTCAATGGCCATACACTTAAATTGAATAAATATAAGGTAGGAACTTTATATGTTTCTTGTTGAGCATACTTGGTCTGGTATCAAGAACTTTTGCAATATTGAGCTTGGTCCCTCAATATTCGCTAAATGATAGTTTACCATGTTTGCCAAACACCCTCGCTATCATGCCCTTTGTGTTAGTCTCATTCTAGTCCTAAATACTATTTATAGAAAGTGTTTAGATTTGCTCATTTAGCATGTCTATAGAATGTAGAGATTGTTCTGAACACAATGATATTCGTCCTGTGTCCAAATTTGCAATCTAGAGACATTTTATATTTAATAAGTGTCGAGTTTATCCTAAAGACTAACTCCTAGTACTAAGGGAAGCTTGGGGTGAAAGC